CTATTCTTTCATCAGTGCTTTGGGTTATCAGTAGCTCCTCAATCTGACCCATTAAATTCTGGCCCCTTTGCAGAGGTAGCTTTTGAGGCTAGTCTTCGAAGTTTGTTCTGACCCCAAGAGGGCTCTTAGGTGTCTCTTTCCCTGGGGTGTCTCTACTGAGCTTGCTGGCTTATGGTTTAGCTTGTTCTCGAAGAGCTACTGGCCTACTTTTTATTGCTTACCACCTAAATCTCCATTGTGTTTGAGAGCACCCTTATGCTTGAACTTCTCTACACTCTCTTTCAAATAAAATAGATTTCGTGGGGGCAGAGCTTTGGAGCTCTCCAGGTTTATTGACTGCCTCTGCCCTTTGGGAAGTCTTTGAGCTGCTGCTCTGGAGCTGTGGGCGAGGGAGTGACACCACTATGCTGCTGCTTCACAGGTGGGGAGCTGGGCGGGAGCACAAGCCCTGACCTTCTCGCCTTGTCCATCTCAACTTAGAATTTCCGCCCTGCGAGCAGGTTGGGACAAGAATGGCTACAGCCTCTTTAGTCATAGCTCGTTGTGCCTGGGGTAGAGCTCTTGTCCTATGAGGTAGGACCTGGATGGAGAAGGGAGCTCTTAACCACCTGGCTCACTTGCCAGGAGTTGAGCCTCTGCAACTCACAGCTGGAGAGGATGAGAAATGCTGGTGGGCTGCCCTTCCGGTGAGATTCCATCTTTTGACTGGGAGGTCCATTATTTTGGTCACACCCACTGCTTTCTCCCACTGTGAACTGTGAGGGGGGAGTGGGGAAGGGAGGAGTGAGCCATGGCATAAGTGTCACAGACTCTTTACTGAATTTTAATCTATTTTCTTGCATAAATGTTTCTTTATATGTTGCCTACCCTTCCGACAATTTCTAGAGACTTTAAATGGTTGGTTTTTCAAAATTAATTTTCACCAGTTACAATTGTTTTGCTGGGGAACAGGTCTGCAGAGCACCTTACACCCCCATTCTGGAAAAATTTTTTTATCTGTGACCTTGGTGTATAAATGGTTAGTACACAAGGTTGTTTTTCTACCCAGCATCTAGGTTGTAGGAGTATGTACCCCAAACACCAAAGTAAGACTCTTGAACAATATTAAATGTTTCCCCCATATAATCTCCCTTTGCATGTAGAAGTTATAGTTGCGTGTTTAAATGGTTTATATCTATGTCACCCTGAGCAGACTCTAAAGTCCGTTCTACTTGTACACCCGTCATCACATCAAAAATGTGTATGCATTTAAGTATTAATTGAGGAATTTATCAGTGTCTTCAGCAATAGAGTACAGTTAATTTATCTAATCTTTCTTTGTCAGTGTGATCAGAAAATCTGATGCTCCGCACTCATTTATGAACTCTGCACAGGCTTGCAAGGGCTATTATTTCCATTTAGATGTTTTTCCTCTTGATGCTGAGTATTACTGAGTTTATTCACTTAACACATAACCACGACAAATGGACTTAGTGCTTTTCACTTTCCTGCCACCTCATAGGTTAAGACATATTTCAGAATCATATTGGTGCCCAAGTCTGGCAACTGTTGTTAAAACTTAAAAAGCCTTTCCAGTAAATTGTTGAAGCCTTAGAACAAAGAAGACGTTTGTGGAAAGACATTCTTTTGCAGATTTACAGAGCAGCATGCGTTTGAATGCTGACCTTGAACTAGACCCCTTCAGCTGCATGTTAATTCCCATAAGAGCAAGAACTACAAGCACAATGAGACAAGCTCATAAACTTGCAAAGCTGTGTAAGGTCCTAGGGTATCCAACCTTTTGGCGTCTCTGCGCCACACTGAAAGAAGAAGAGTTGTTTTGGGCCACACATTAAATACATTGTGACCTGTAATCACAAAAATACCCTCATAATGTTTTGAGTAAATTTACGATTTTGTGTTGGGCCACATTCACAGTCATCCTGGGCTGCATGCAGCCTGTGGGCTGCAGATTGGACACCTCTGGATCCATTTCAGTGTAAGAGATATTAAGTCTTTTCTTCTTACTGTCTTTTGGCTATTAGCTCCTTGTTATTCAGACAGTATGCCTTAGTGGTAAGCATCTGCCAGTTTTGTTTCTATTTGAAATGGTTGCCTAATGGGCTGAAATGCATTAGGAAAACCATTTTATAACCATCCAGCTATGTTACATAAATCTTTTAGTATTTTAGATAGAAAGGTATTGTTCAAGAACAACAGTTCAAGTTCATTTTAAACAAGACTAAGGTGCTTCCTGCAATTTTATGTTTCTCCTAAAACTAGGGAAGTGTTGGAATTGAGAGCATATATTATAATACACTGCATGTTTGCTAGCTCTGAGCCCCTTTGTTATTTTAGATGCTGTGATAAAGTTAATGTGCCACCGAACGTCTTATTGTAATAAACAGTTGCATATAAATATAGCTACATTAAAAGGGTTAAATTTCCTTTAAAAAGATGTAATTTTTCTCATTTCTCAAAAACTATGGAAAACATGGGGAAATGCAATCAAATAATGTAAAATGAAATCTCACCCCATGAGTTAAGCCTTAGTGGTGAACAATTTGAAATTTATGTATTTTTCAAGAGAATTCTTTTTTCAAATCATTGTTCAGTAATACAGATAGACTGTGGGAGTGGTAAAATTAAAACACAAACTGGACAAAGCTATACGTAGGTGAAAGAATATGGAATTAAAGCTGTGGGTTTAGCCCTGACCAGTAGCTTGGTGGGTTAGAAAGTCATCCTGATACTTTAAAGTTGCAGGTTTGATCCCAGGTCAGGGCACATACAAGAATCACAGTGAATTCAGAAATGAGTGGAACAACAAATAGATGTTTCTCTCGTCTCTCTCTCTCTCTCTCTCTTTCTCTCTACCCTTCTCTCTCTCTCTCTCGGAAAAAAAAAAAAAAGGACGGTGGGCTTATATATCATTTCCAGTGACCTGGGAACCTTGGTCAAAACCTCAGTTCCTCTGGGTGTCATCTATAAACAAAAGGGATTTATAAAATGGTGCTCTCAATAAAAAGTGAGTGTAGCTGATTGAAAGCTGTTGAGTATCAGGACTTTCCCACTGTTCACATTCTAATCCATATTTATATTTTATCAGAGCATATAGAAACATCTAGTTGGTGGCTGACAGTTCTTCTTAACGAAAGCATTACCTGTCCTGGTCCCCCCAACCTACCTTTTTCATCCAGAACAGCTGACTCCCCCATGATAAACACTGGAATTATGTGTTAGATTTTATTTGAACAGAGGACTCCATGGCAAATTAAATGTTTTAAAACTATAGACCTAGGTGTTTATGTACTTTTCAAGTAAAAAGAATTCTTTTTTTTCCTACTGTAAATTCTTTTACTTTGGAAGAGGAGCATGAGGTGAATGCAAATTTTGATAGAGGAGGAGGCAGAGTAAAGAACAGAACAAAATAGGACACAGGAGATTTGCATGTTACACGTTTGTTTTCTGAGTTTATTCTTTTCACTCCCATCTCCCAGAAATGAAATATGCTTTATCTAACTCCCCTCAGTTACAGCACTTAATTTCAATAAAGTCTTTTTATTAGTTATCACTGAACTCCTGTCCCTCACAGGCCCCTCAGAACTGCATTATTTCACTGTTTACATTCCTGATCAGACATTTACTGACAGTGGAACTTAATCATTTAGGGCTTTGGTCTGCAAACAGCATCTATTGCTTATTAATTTGTACTTAGGAACAAAAAATGTTTTTCATGGGGTTCTTAAGTCCATTTTAAGTATTACTTTTTTTTTTTTTTTTTGGCAGTTCACCAGATCTCTACATTTTGCTAATAGCTTTTTTTTTAAAGTAATTCTAAAACGCTGCAGGAGTTGTATTAGAACCATGTTAAGTGATGGTCAGCATCCCATTCATTACAACACAAGAACCATTTTTGTCTTTTTTTAAATCGAGATGTATTTCACATAAAACATTGTATAAATTTAAGGTATACAATATATTGACTTGATACACTTATATTGTGTTATGGTTGCCCATCGTAGCATTAGCTTACAGTTCTATCTTGTCACTTACTACCATTTCTTCGAGTGTTGGGAACAATTAAGATCTAGTCTCTTAGCAAGTTTAATGTTTATATACATTCTGTTGTCTATAATCACAGGATGGTATTAGGTCTCCAGGACTTTTGTAGTAGTTGCAAGTTTGTACCCTTCAACAGCATCTCCTATCTCTTGTTTTTAGTTTCCACACGTAAGTGACATCATACAGTATTTGCTTTCTCTGTCATACTTACCATATAATGCCCTTAAGATGCATCATGCTGTCACAATGTCAGGATTTCCTGTCTTCTCAGAGCTAAATAATATTCCATTGTATACACATTATGCCACATCTTTATGCATTCATCCTTTGACGGACACTTAGGTCTGTATCTTGGCTATCGTGCGTAATGCTTCAGTAAGAACCTTTTAAAAATGTAAAATCCTGGCTGGTGTGTCTGAGTTGGTTGGAGCATCGTCCTGTACACCAAAAGGTCATGGGTTTGATTCCTGGTCAGGGCACATACCTAGGTTATGTGTTCCACCCATGGTCGGGACACGTACGGGAGGCAATAGATCGATGTCTCTCTCTCTTCCCCCTCCCTCCTTTCCTCCTCCCCCTTCCTCTCTCTAAAAATCAGCGAACATGTCCTCAGGTGAGAAGTAAAAAAATTAAAAATAAAAATAAATATTTTTAAAAGTATGTAAAATTTTCTGTCAAAGAAGACATTTTGAAACTTGTAACTACTACTTTTCTGTCTTACTGGGTGGTAGTTTCAGTTTTTAGACTGTGTGGAAGCTGACAGATGGTATAATTTCTTGGCTCTGGGGTAAGCAGTAATGATGCTGCTTTAAAGCCTTTGCCATCTTCCTTCCTTCCTCTATACATAAGTAAGTTTTAAGTTGTGGCTGCACCAGAAACATATCTTCTTGGAGTTAATTGTCACCGTGTTCTCTTGTGCTCTCTCTGGGGATACTTTACATACTGTCCTGATGCAGATAACTGGAGGAGCAGGGTTCGTGGGTTCCCATCTTACTGACAAACTCATGATGGACGGCCATGAGGTGACTGTGGTGGACAACTTCTTCACGGGCAGGAAGAGAAACGTGGAGCACTGGATCGGCCATGAGAACTTTGAGCTGATTAACCATGATGTGGTGGAGCCCCTCTACATTGAAGGTGAGTGACACCATGCACTGTTGTCATTCAGAGCCTGCTGGGTGTGGGCTTACCAGAGCAGCCAGTCCCTGAAGATAAATAGTCTGGCTTGGCCACATCCAGTTTGTGTTATGTTTTGTTCTTGAAATAGTCTTCCCATGTGCAAGGCACTAATCTAGTTTCTGTGATAAAAAAGTGGTTACGATAGTGCAAGAGTCTGACTTCACGATTACATGCCCTGCCCTCCAGTTTTGAACTTCATGGTCTGTCGAAGTAAGGCTTGTGTAGCACACATCTGTCCCTATTGCCTGACAAGCCTGGTGCCTGCCCCACCCATGTGAAATTACTTCTAGCTTCCTATCGGAAAGTGGCTGACGTAGAATGCTGAGTTCATAATGAAATTCCATATATAGAAGATTTAAAGCCCACTGGTAACTTTCACATTTAAAGGAATTATGGTTTGGGAGCTACACTGGGTTGGATGGTGACCCTCAAAAAGATACACCCACATTTAAACCCCCAGAACCTCTCAGTGTGACCTTATGTGAAAAAAGTGTCTTTGCAGATGTAAGTAAGTTAGGCTACTCTCAGGATGAGGTCAACCTAGATCACCTGGGTAGGCTCTCATTCTGATGGCAAGTGTCTGTAAGAGACAGAATGGAGAAGACGTGGACACATGGGGAGAAGATGAGAAGGCCATGTGCGGACTGAGGCAGAATTGGGGGTTATGCAGCCCCGTATACTGCCCGGAGCCTTCGGAGAACATGTGGTCTGGCCAACGCCTTGTTCCCTGACTTCGGTTTCTAGGACTGTGGGAGAATAAATGTCTGTTGTTTTATTTCACCTAGCTTGTGGTACTTCAGGAAGGTAATAACAGGGCCCTTAAGGAGACTTTTTTTGAGATCGTCTAAGGTGTACTGAGGAGAGCTACCACCAGATGCTTGACTAGGAGGCCTCTTAGGGTCACACAGACTTTATATTTTTTTCTCATGTATTATTGAGAAGTAAGTGGTATCATCCCATTTATATATACAGGGTGGGCAAAGGTAGGTTAATAATAATATGTAACAAAATAAATTAATAAATAAATATAGGAATAAACTCTGTGTTTCACATACTCACAGTTGTAAACCTGTTTTCGCCCTACCCTGTGTATGGAAAGTGAGTTGTGCTGTGGGCTCCCCGAGGTTGCAGGGCGGTTAAGTGGCCGAGCCAAGTTCAGCTTTGGATTGTTGGCGCCAAAGCTTGTGAACACCTGCTCCTCCTCCTGCATGGATTGTGTAGCCTTCTGCCTTTTCCTTATTATCAAATCCTGAATGTGTTCCCCATGTCAGTAAAATGTATCTTGGAGAGCCATTGTAATTGGTCAGCAATGTTATTATATGGATATACCATGATTTACTTAATCATATCCTTATTTAAAATTTCTCCACTATTTTATTATAAATATCTTTGAGTTTTATTTTGTCAATAAAGAGTCCAGATATGCATTTTGCCAAATACTAATGTCTCCTTTATCATTTGTTGTTGTCTGTTTCACTAATATATTAGTAGCATTGGGCATTGTCTTAAAAAATACTGACAAAAATGTTTTGCTAATTTGATAGAAAGCCCATGGCTCAGTGTAGATTTCTTTGGTTATTATTAAAAAGGTTAGACTTTCTTACATGTTAATTCACAAAGAAATCTAAATAATCTCTATTACCTTTTTTAAAAATTTGCATTTATTATGGGCTCTTCATAATAGGGACATACATTTAGTATTTCTCTTTGCAATCTGACTTTTTTGCCCTGTAATTTCATTGAAATTTTGCAATTAAAATATAGTCTCATCTGTTCATTTTCTCTGTTCGTTTTATGCTGTAAACGTTCTAAAATTAGATAAATATTCAGCCATGGTGTTTTTGAACTTGTTTTTGCTTCATTTTTAAACATTTAATTATTTAATCTACCTGTGATTTATTTTGGATTTTGCTGTAGTTTTGTAAAGTGAAACAAGTGATGTAGATAATAGGCAAATTGTCTCACTTTCCACTTGGACTTCATCGCGAGGTTGCTTTGATAGGGTTAACTGAAGTAGTGCCTGACAGCGCTCTTACAGGCACAGTTCTCAGGGTGTCCCTCCAGGGTGCCCCCTGCCCCCCAGTTATTCCGCCATTCGACCAAAGACAAATCTAGATACTGCTCTGGGAGGACTTTGCTGACAAATTAAGGTAATGAATCAGCTGACTTTAAAATATGGTGATTACCCTGGATTACCTGGGTGGGCCCCACATAATCACAGGAATGTTTAAAAGCAGAAGATAGTGGAAGAGCCAGTGAGAGATTTGGTGAAAGAGCTGCAATAGGGAAGTCAGAGGGATTCCAAGTGTGAGAAGGACTTGACCCACCACTGCTGGCTTTGCAGGGGCCATGAGCCAGACCATGTAGGCAGCTTCTAGAAGCTCCTGCCCAGCAAGCATATGAGACCTTGTGCCGCATGCAGCCTTATGGAGCTGAATTTTGCTGGCGACCTGAATCGTCCTCTGATGACAGGAACACAGTCCTGCTGACACCTTGATTTCAGTCTATGAGGGTCGGGGCAGAGACCCAACTGAGCCACACCATACCAGGACTTCTGACCTGAGGTTATAAATAGATAGTTTTTAAGCCTCTAAGTTTGTTAGGGCAGCAGTAGGGGAGCGGCCACAGGAGGTTTAGCACAGTGTCTGGCCCATAGTAAGTGCTCTTATTATTACTCATTTCACTTTTTTGCACTTTGCAATAACTATTTATTGAATGAAGCTGTTGATTACATAATTTCAGTACTACCGAGAAACCAAAGCTTAGCAAAAATTGGCAAGGAAATTATTGGGAAGGAAATTATCTGCTTTGACTATGAGCTTTGACACTAGAGCTACTATAGTTGTTTCTACTGCGGTAAATAGACTCTGTAGGGGACAGACAGGGGGACACACACACACACACACACACACACACACACACACACGAGTCACACAATAAATGAGAACACTTTTTGTCCTTTGCTTACAGTAAGTTCCTTCAAGTAGCACCGTAAGACATTTCTTGACCTTGATACTTAAAAGCCTGTTTTTCATTTTCTCAACCTTAGCATTGGATTCTTCCGTGCTCTTGATAACCTCTCCCCATCCTATTCTCTTCCCCCATCTCTTCACTCTTTTTGGTCCCACAATGCCACTTGACTCTGAACTCCTTACGTGAGGAAGTACATCATTTGATCCTCCATGTGGGTATGGTTGTGCTTTTCAAAGGTAATAACCCCTTCCTTCACCACTTATATCAAACACAGGAGGACTTTAACCAGATGAACCTAGTCTCATGGGCCCTCTCTCTTTTCCACAGTGTTGCATTGTCACACAAATAATAACGTAATTTAGGGCTCCCTTTATGGACAAGTTGTTGCCTTGTATGTATAGTGCCCGCCATATTTCACATACACTTCAGTTTAGTTGTTCTTAATGAATTTTACAGCCTATGCTCATCCTAAATGGGACTACCATTTGGTATAATATGAAGTTCATTATTTTTGCAGCAATGAACAAGTTTATATGTTCTGTAATATGATAAATTATTTTCCTCCTCTGTGTGGTAAGAGTATATATAGTCCATAACCCGAAGTTTAAAACATAACTCTATTTTTAGTTCCTTTTTCCTAATAGAAAAAACTTTCGTTGATCTGATACTTATACCATAGCAGAAATGTGCTTTGGTTTTGAAAAGTATTTTGTGTAATGTACTTTTGTTTATTTGTTTTGCCGAGGCTGGCAAGTTGTTTGGTTTTTTATTGATGTAACAATGGTATCTCTCAATTTGGCAGCATTATAGCAAAACTTCATTAAATTTCCCTCAGCACAGATTCCTCCTCTCATTGTTTTCAAAGTAGCCATTATGTGTCAGAAGCAAAGACATTAGTATTTATTTTATTTTCATGTTTCCAATAGGAAATTAACTATTCTCTGGTCTAAGAATGTGGTGGTAGAATTGGAAAAGGAGAGTGCACTTGTAGTATACTTAGGCTCAGGACTGAGATAGGGTACTACAGAATTCAGACACTACCGTGTAGTGATAAATTACAAAATTATGAAAAATGACAAAGACAAGAGGTGTTATTGTCAGAGGGGTAATGATAGAGGCCTAGTATTGTGTGGGTTAGATTGTGGAGAATGAAAATGATTGCTTTAGAAGGAATTGTAAGTACTCATTGAAATAACTGAATCTGATAATATATTGCTGTGAAATGGATTTTTATTTACTTTATTTTCATTTTATTTTTTTCATTACCATTTATTCTCCTTATACCCCCACCCGCCTTGTAGTCGCCACACTTGTTGTCTGTGTCCATGAGTCCTTTTTCCTCTTTGCTCAGTCTCTGCACCTCCTACTCTCACCGCCTTAGCAGTCATCCTGCTCTCCATCTATGAGTCTGTCTCTATTTTTCCTTGTCAGTTCAGTTTGTTCATTAGATTCCACATATGAGTGAGATCATATGCTATTTGTCTTTCTCTGACTGGCTTATTTCACTTAGCATAATGTTCTCCAGGTCTATCCATGCTGTCACAAAGGGTAAAATTTTCTTCCTTTTTATGGCTGAGTAGTATTTCATTGTGTAAATGTTCCATAGTTGCCTTATCCACTCATCTACTGATGGACACTTGGGCTGTTTCTGTATCTTGGTGATTGTAAATGATTCTGCAATGAACATTGGTGAATGTAAATAATGCTGAAAAAACATTATGTTCTTTTGAATTAGTCCTTTGGGTTTCTTCAGATATATTCCCAGAAGTGGGATTGCTGGGTCAAAAGGCAGATCCATTTTTAATTTTTTGAGGTATCTCCATACTGCTTTCCACAGTGGTTGCACCAGTCTGCATTTCCACCAATAGTGTAAAAGGGTTTCTCCTTCTTCACATCCTCGCCAGCACTTTGATTTATTGATGATAGCCATTCTAACAGATTTGAGCTGGTATCTTATTGTAGTTTCTATTTGCATTTCTCTCAAG